GCTGATTGGCAAGGGAGCACATCGTTGACACGGACTGTAGGCACTCTAGTTTGACGCAGACATGAACACATTATTGTTTTTTTTTGCTGTAAGCCAAATCTCATTGTCGCTCATACAAAATTGCTTCAGCTTCTGTTGGTATTGAGACCTTGATTTTCATTTTCGATAGCGTAAAAGATTATCAAGTTATTCTATCATATCATTTAGCACTCTTTTAGGGATGGCAGCTAGAAAGAGTAAAACGACGGACAAGGTCAAGTCTCTAGAAGATTGCCTATCTGAATTGTCTGTAGCCGATGAAAATGTCGTACGAAGTGCTCTTTCTGCTGAACAAGATCTCAGTAACTTTTCCGGTATGTATGAAGAAGTAAAAAACACATTATTTTATATCATCTGACCTAGTTTTCAGCGCAGGTAAAGGAAGAGCTGACGGAAGCACATAAAGTAGCCGTTCGAGAGTGTATACAAAACGCTGAGAAGCTGACAGATCTCCACAATCAAATTGTGGCATGCGATCAGGTTTTCGAGGTATGTGCTTGCCTTGCCTCATTTTGAAATCATTACTTGCCATTTTATTTATTTAGTTTCATTGCAAATCCTTTCTTTAGAATGTGATCTCCTTTCATAGTAATAGTATAAGGTGACAAGCTTTCTTTTCAGCGGTTGGAGAAGATGTTATTGAGGTTTCAAGATGACCTAGGGACCATTAGCGAGGATATGAAAAGGCTGCAGGATCAATCCGTTTCCATAAATCAGGTGAACATTATTTCACCAACCCTTCTACTTGGGTATATGTGGGTATATGAAGAAAATTTCATGTTAAATACACTGCACTGTCATCGGGAACAGATTGGCTCCCCCTGAGTATCCTCTCCATTACGACGACTAGATTAACACATAACTATTATCTTTTCAAACCCTTCAAATTTTTGAAATTGTTTTATTCTTTAATAATTTCAAATTAGCAGCAGCGAAGCTACTATTCCAGTAACAACATTCACAGACTTGGATTTGTCTTTTGTTATGAAGCTCTTATTTCAGGAGTTGGAGAATCGCCAAAAGGTGCGCGGAGAGCTTAGCCAATTTGTTGATGATATCATCGTACCACAAACCATGATTAAGTAAGAGTTTTGTTCTCTTGCCTCTAAATACCTTTGAATTCTCTGGAGTTGTTTAGAGTCATTATGGAGGCTGATGTTAGCGATCGCAGCTTTCTGGAGCAGCTTCACGAGCTGCAGCACAAAATCAGTTTTGTTCGCGCACAGGAGTTCAAGGATGCTCGCGCTGTTTACGATGTGATGGGCGTCTTGGAGAGTCTTAAGTTTAAGGTAATATCAGGCAGTCATATTGCTTTTCAATATTTACTTTTAAGGCTGTTGAGAAGATACGGGAATGGATTTTGACGAAAATTTACATGTTTCGTAAGCCACTGTCGAATTATCAAGTGCCTCAGCATCAGCTCTTGAAATATCGTTTCTTTTTCGAATTTCTATCTGCAAATGAAA